TCCTATGTGCTGCAGGGCAGATTAGTAGAACCACAAACCAATGGGGGAATTCAAAGCCGATTGCTGGCAGAAGGAGACGTAACTTGGCCCAAAGCAACAGACTGAGCAACAGCAATAGAAGCAGCAGTGAAAAAACGTACAAGCTTTGCACTTAAAATGCAGGGACAATCACAGTGACTCAGACATCAGTTTGTAACTTTAAAATCACAGCATCTCAAGCCCTGGAGGGCAGGGACCGGATTTACACCTTATGTGCCCCTAGGAACAGCATCTTCAGCCTCCGCCCTCCCTCCCCCCCGCCTACAGTTGACCGTGTTGCACACAGTTTTGGAGAGGTAAGGCGCCCCTAGAATTCCCGGTGCCCCTAGACATGTGCCAACTGTGCCTCTTTGGAAATCCAGCCCTGCCGGAAGGTAGACCCCAGTGGTACGTCTACAGCATACTAAGCAGGGGCTCTGACTCAGGTTTAAGACCAAGCCCCACTTCTGTCCACACAGAAGTTAGTTTGACTCAGGCTTGAAGAGCCTGCTAGGGGATGGGGTCAGAGCCGAATTCCCACTGCGATGCAAGTCAGAGCCCAAAGGTTTTGTAGTGTGGATGCAGCTCAGCTCCATGTCACCTGACTCGGGTGTGGAGAGTCTGCCAATTTCCAGACACTGCACTTCCCAGACCCAATCTGAGAACTTGCCACTTGCTTCCCAGGAATCTTATGTAACATGGGGATACTGATAATGGCCTTATTTATAAAGGACTTTGAGACCTTCTGAGGAAATGAGCTACAGAAGAGGTAGGTAGTCTTAGGGCGCAGGTCCAGCACAGGCTGGTCTGGCCCCTCTCCTCAACAAGGGGTCAGCTGCTGCTCTGGCGGTGAAAGGCTCTTGGTATCTCCTCAACCACCAGGCCTTGTAATGTCCTAGGGACGATGCCCCTCTGGGTTCCTGACCAGGACATCGGTTATTCTTTCCCCTGAGAATCCACCCTTAAGATTGGAGACTGGCCACTTCCCAGGGCTTTGGGAGATGAGTCAGAGCTGCGGGACACCAGTGTGGTGCTGAGGTGGGCCAGCTACTGCTCTCATTTACCCGGCTGCAGGGCAGGAGTAACTCTACTGAATTCAATGGGGTTACGCCTGATTTTTCTGTAGAATATTCCAGCTGCTGGGGGTGGTTCTAACAGGGTTCCCACACCCAGGAAAGAGAGAGCCTGCTCCCTTCCCCCACCTCGAGGAGCTGCAATCAGCTGTTTGTAATGAACCAGAAGCTTCCTCCCCCATGCGAAGGCTGCAGTGTCTGGAGCTGGGCGGGAGCAGGGAGGTGTTTCTGACATGCAAGGCTCCGCTTCCCCTCCACGTTCTTCATTGCTGTGTAAGTGGGGTTGGACTGAGCTCCCCTCTGACGTGGAGAGATGAGCTGGGGGAACAGACTCCAGGAACAGACTGTGTTTCCGGAAGCACCTACTGTGCCTAGGATCTCGGTGGAGGGAACTGCTTTGCCAAATTGACCCGTTTTGGCTGGTGTTGGGTTACAAATCACTTTAGTGGGGAGTGCAGGGGAATGGCATGTTGTCACCCTGACTGTGTGAGGAAAGGGCAGCAGAACTGTGCGTAGCCTGCCCTGATTGACGCTCACTCGCTATGCAGGGGGGTGGGGATGACAAATCCCGTGACAGTGAGAGAGAAAGAGGGTCTGAAGAGGTGTCTGTACCGGGGGTGTGGGCTCTGCCTAAAGAGTCCTAGACACCATTTGACCCTCTCCCTCGCCACTGTGTAAAGGCAGAGCTGATCAGACACACTGGAGAGTCCTTATTTTGTTAAGTGATCGCTAGAGCTGAAATCACTGAGAACCAGGTCTAGCCGCTGAGCCTTAGGGCACGTCTACGCTTAACAGTCTTCATCAGTACAGCTGCAGTGGGGCAACTGTGCCACTGTGGTGCTATAATGGAGATGCTCTAAGCTGACGGAAGAGAGCTTCTCCCATCGGTGTGGTTAATCCACCTCTCTGAGGGGCGGCAGCGGTGTCAATGGTAGAGTCTCTCCTGACAACACAGCAGTGTCTACACAGGGGTTCAGGTTGGTATAAGTACGTCACACAGGAGGAGGGTGTGTGTGGATTTTTCACCCCTCCAAGTAACATAGTTATACCGATAGAGGTCTGTAGGTCAGACCAGACCTCGGTTGTATACGTGGTGGTGGCAAAAGCAGCCAAGGCATTTCTCGACGCCATCTCCCCACCTCCCACCCATCCAGGAGGAGTTGAACTCACATGAACGCTCTGAACTCTGGGCCTTCGCCAACCAAAGACCGCAACTGTGAGTGGGGGGCTTTAAAAGGTGGAAGGTTTGGTGAGTGGGGTGCAGGGGAGGCAAAGGCAGGTTCAAGGAGAATTTGTTGGACTTTCACACCACAAGGGGAGAAACTGAGGCAAAGGACACTGTCCAATATATTCTGGGGTAGGAGTTTCCTCATGGCTAAGGCTACGATTATATCATGGAGGTCACGGATATGAGGCGTTTCCCCTCCAATTAGCTCTGTCCCCCAATAATCCCCACCCTAGAACTGACCAGGGGGCAGGTAGCTCCCTAGCCTGATGGGGGAGGAAGGCCACGGGGCACCCGCCCCCCGGACGCATATGCTGGACCCTACCTGGTGAGGCCCCGCTGCCCGGGCCCGTCTCCTCCCTGAGGGGCTCAGCCGCGATGCTTATCTTCTTGATGCTGTGGAAGGGGATGGTGTGGGGTGTGGCGGCGTGTATGGGAAGGCCGTCTCCACCACCAAGCGTCCCCGGCTCTCCTGCGGCTGGTGGCAGGGGAGCTCTGCAGTTGCCTAGCCATGGCAGGAAGAGTGGGGGAGTGGGGGACCCGAGACATCCCACTTGCCACGGGTGGCAGGGAACCGGAGCTCCCTGCTGCCTTAGGCGGTGGGACCCCCCCACACAACTACTTAGGTGCCATGGGGAGCAGGGGACTTCAAAGTGGGAGAGTGGGGGTGGGGGACCCCGGAGCTCCAGCAGCAGTGGGCACTGAGCTGAACTCGCCTCCCCGTTTTGTCAGTATATTTTTGTCGTGAAAGTCAGGACAGGTCACAGGCTTCCATGAATTGCCCATGACCTGTCTGTGATTTTTACTAAAAATATTTTTGCCTTACTCATGGTCACAAGCTTTAGAATCGTGGTTGTGGGGTTTCCCAGATTAATTCCAGGTTCCTTTCCCCTTTTTATTAAAAGTTCTCTTTGTTATACACAGACTCAGTGCTTGGGAGAGGGAATGCATTGCCTCAGAGAGGTGCCTGGGGTGGTGTGAAGTTTTCCCAGATTACTGGGTGAGGGTGTGACGGGTTTGGTCACAGAGACCACTTGGGACTGTCACCTGATGTGCTGAAATAACCTCTGAGCCTGTTTCCCCTGCCAGCTTGGGACTCCAGCTCCCTGCCTTGTTGAGTCAGACACGCTAACCAGCTGCAAGGGTCTGGGCCGTGTCCCATAGCTGCAGACTAACTAAAAACAGCTCCGCTGTTTACCTATCTCCAGCACCCAGACACCCAGCTCCCAATGGGATCCAAACCCAAAATAAATCCATTTGACTCTGTACACAGCTTGTACAGGGTAAATTCATAAATTTTTCGCCCTCTACATCATGGTATCAGGGATAGAGAGATATGCTCAGCTGTTTGCTCCTCCAGGTATTAATCATTTACTCTGGGTTTTTATTAAGTATAAAAAGTAGGATTTAAGTGGTTTCAAGTAATAACAGCTAGAACAAAGAAAGTCTTGAAACAAAATAAAACAAAACACGCAAGTCTAAGCCTAATACATTAAGAAACTGATTACAGGTAATATCTCACCCTCAGAGATGTTCCAATAAGTTTCTTTCATAGACTCCTTCCTATTCTGGGCCCAATCCTTTCCCCTGGTAGAGTCTTTGTTAGATCCAGCAGACATCTCAGGTGGTAAGCAGGGGTTTTCTCATGACCGGCAGCGCTTTGTCCTGCTCCACCCACTTTTATAGCTTTGGCACAAGGCGGGAATCTTTTGTCTCTCTGGGTTCCCACCCCTCCTTCTAAATGGAAAAGTACCAGGTTTAAGATAGATTTCATTATCAGGTGAATGGTCACATGTCAATGTGAGCCCCCCAGTCTCCATTCCCCGTGGGCTGGCCCACACGTACACAGGGAGGCTTTCAAATAACTAAGGCCATTTACAACTGATTGTTTCGGGAGCACCCTTAATGGCCTCCACTTAATATGTTTTTCATCAGTGATACAGGTTTATATCTTATTCTCCTAACTCCAGATATAGAACTAAATCATGCAAACAAATAGGATGAACATACTTAGTAGATTGCAAGCTTTCTAAAGACACCATACAAGGGGTATTTAGCATAAAGCATATTCCAGTTATGTCATATTCATGAGCATATTTCCATAAAACATATGGAGTGCAATATCACAGAGGGGTTCCTGCCAGTTTTGTTTTGTATTGGAACTCCTAGGTATTGAACCCGGCCCTGGTTGCTGCCGACTCCACCTGGCAGAAAAATGACAATAGATTCCAAGGTCACTGCGAGTGTAATGGGCAGAGTGGCAGGTTGTCTCTGGGAGGCAACACACAAAGCCCCTGGATCCTGACCCATAGGGATAATGGAGCCAAGGGAAATTCTTCACGGTGCTGACTGCTCATTGGGGATGATCCGTCTGCACTGACAAGGTTTCAATCCCAGGGGACAATCTGATCTATTCAGATCATTACACTGCAAGAGCCAATGCCTGCCTAGCCCACAGTGAGTGACCCCTGGAGCTCCCAGGAGAGCCAAGGGAAGGGAACGCGGAGGTGCCAGGACAGGGCATTCTGTTCTGGTGCCTAAGACATCTAGGATACTCCTCGATAGTGACCGACTCTCACTAACACTTGCAGTGACATTCCCACCTGGCTCATAACCAATCCTGCGTCATTCGGGGGGCAAAGCACCTTTACAGCAGTGATGAGACCCAGCTAGAGATGACTGTGTCACAGGCTGGTATTGGAACAGAGCAGAGGACCTCTTACCGTCTTGGTGCTGGTGGTGGGGACAGCAGACATGGATAGATCGGATGTCTGAGATTTTGTGCTGGACGTTCGGAATCCCTTGATCCATCTCCTGTACTCCTCTCTCACCTGGAGAGTGAGGGACATGGTCACTGCACTATGTAACTAACGCTGAGAAGATCAGACATGGCTGGTGAAGGTGCTGGATGGGCGCTAACAGACTGTGGGCATTACCTGGCGATTGAGGAGACAGTGCACCAGGAAGATGAAGGGTCCCTGCAGGCTGATGACAATGAAGAATACATACCGCATGACCATCGCTGCTGGGCCGACTTCGAGGAAACCAAGGCTCCATGGGCAGCCCAGAATGAAAAACTGTGCAATGGCTTTAAAGGTCAGTAACCTGGATAAAGGCAGATGGAGAGATCCTGTTACAATAACCCTATGGAGAGTAATTGGGCCAGGAGAATCTGGGCAGAATGGGGTGGAGCTAACATCTCCAGCTTTCCTGTGTGGGACAGGGTTACTCTCAATAAAAACACTGTGTTTATTTGTTCCGATGGACAATAGATATTCTGTTCCCCTCCTGCAATCCCTCACACCCTCCCTGTGCCAAGGACCCTCCAAACCAAGGTATCTGACCCTCCAGGATTTTTTTGTTGCCTTCTCACCTGTGGTCTCTGAGGGTGGACACATCTGCATTGAGGGAGGAGAGTGTTTTTCTGAGGATCCACAGAGTTAGGGCAAAGAACGTTATATTTATCTGTGGGAACAGCGGGAAATATTTCCTGTAAAACATCCCATCCGGGGCCGGTGACTCCAGCTGAGGCAGAGAACGATCCCAGGGGACTGAGCCAAACACTGTAGAACCGGGGATGGCTAATTACTGATGGGAATCATCCGCTCTCCTGTAATATCCCCTGGCAGCTCTCGGTCCCTTCCCATGCGTGGAGCTGACAGCACAGCCAGGGATGAGATGGCTCAATGGGATCACAGAGGCCAGATGCTCCTCAAAGTTAAATATGAAGCCTCTCCAGTAGAGTCAGTAGCAATTTTGGATTTACATTGGTGTAACAGAGTAGGATCTGGCTCAGAGATTCCAGATCCTGCCTCTAGAATACTTCCTGCCACTTTCCAGCTCTAACAAATTCCCCGCACCCCCAACGTCCCCAGGGGGTAGGGAGGAATATGTAGGGACATTTGTTCCCCCCCCCGCTAGAAAAAACACTAGAGTGCAGCCCTCGCCGTTTCTTGTTCCTTGGGTCATTAACTAGACTAGATCACACTCTTGCTGTCTTCACTTGGCAAAACTCCTGACGTCCATGGGAGCTGTGCCCGACTAAAAGCTGTAGGCCTGGGGATACAGCACAGGGACTAATCCTGTGAGTAACCCAGCAGATGAACCAGGTGGGACCTAACTGGGTTTTTTCTTGTATGTTATGGGGAGGGATAGCTAAGTGGTTTGAGCATTGGTCTGCTAAACCCAGGGTTGTGAGTTCAATCCTTGAGGGGGCCACTTGGGGGATCTGGGGCAAAATCCATACTTGGTCCTGCTAGTGAATGCAGGGGGGTAAACTCAATTACTTTTCAAGGTCCCTTCCAGTTCTAGGAGATAAGATATCTTTATAATTTATATTTATTTTATATACCACGTTTTCCTCCCTGCTTCACTGAAATCAATGGGGTTACAGAGGTAAATGGAGAATGGGGCCCTGTGATCCTGTGAGGTACCCACCAGGATTATGGCACAGACTGGACCCAGGAAGCTCCAATGAAAGCCGCTGTCCGAGCTGAGAAAGCACCTAAAGTCAGGGAGGAAGAAGAAAGTGATTTAATGGGATTACTGCCCTTTTTCAGCCCCGAGGCAGAGAGGGGGTGTCACAGGGCAGCTGGCTCTCAAAACTGAGATAGATCTCAGCCTGCCTGGGACATGGCCGACTCTCTTGCGGGCAGCAGGTAAACAGCCCTTCCCCATGTACCTCAGCATCTCCTGCTTTCAGCCACCACTTCCTCTTCCACCTCCTCAATGACCTTTTCTGGTGGATGCACTCAGTATTGCTGGAGGGCCAGACATGCAGCGGATGGACATTGGCCTCACTGCACTGAAGGAAGTGGAGCTACCCTGATTTACACCAGCTGAGGATCTAGCCTGGGGTGTCTAGAACACGCCACACCTTGTTTTAGTGGAGTCCCTCACTGTAGAGGGGGATCCTCAGGGATTTGCACACAGTAAGATGGTGCATTTGTTTCCTGCCCACCAGCCCCACAAATCTAGCCTGGGACCTGGGAGTCAAGCTGGGATCTTTCTGGCTTGTTTTTTCACATCATCAGTGGGGTGAGGAGAGTAGATGTCTGACAGGTGGGCAACTCAACTGCAGCACTCGGGGCAGCTTAGTGTCCCTGGGGATGGGAAGGGTCCCAGGGGACATTCAGTTCCCAGGCAGGGTGAGCTGGGAAATCTCGGTTCAAGTCAGAGCTGGGGTGAGCCGGACAAGCGCATGGAAGCCACATCCCAGCTCCCCTTCGGTATGGGCGCTGCACGTACCATGTGTAATCTCCGTAGCCTTTGTGATTCACTGCTGCAGAAATAGCCACCACCAGGGCTGGGAAGCCGTATCCGAACGGGTACATGAATCTCTTAATGAACCAGCTGGAGCTGGTGCAATTCACGACCTGCAGGTTCCTGACGGTGAGGAAGAGGTGCAGCCCCTCCAGGAACATCCAGGAGAAGCAGGCCAGGAAGAGGAAGTGTAGGAGCGCAGCAATGACAGCACACGCCACCTGGGGGAGACAGAGAGCCCAGGGACACTGAGGTGGGGAAGGGAAATGCTGAGTATGGGGGAGACCTGGCCGGGGGGGGGGGGGGGGGGGGGGTCGACGACGTGGGA